AAACGGGCAAGGCTTTTCCTTGTCTTTTTTCGACTTTTGCTCGAAATGAAGCCTGAATATTCTCAAATAGATTAAAAACCATAGCGAATTTTATGGGCATACTGCCGAGATCTCTAGAGGATTTCTGAAAGGTTTTTGAAAGTTTTTTGGTAGAATAGTGACTAATTCTTGGGTCACTAGAGTTTAGGCATTCATTTAGGGTAGGAAGACAAATAGTTTTTGTGGAGAGCTAGGGCGTGATTTATTTCCTAGCTTTAGACAAAATTAAAATCACAGTCTTCAATGAAAATCAGATGATCACCGTCTCAAATCACTATCTAAACGCCTAAACCACTGTTGCTAATCCGTGTATGACTTTGAACTCTTCCTTCGCATTTTGTACTGAAGAACATCTTCATGACTTCTGCATAAGTTTGTCCATCCTTGTACGCCTGCAAACACCGCCAGAATCTGCGTAGAAGTTTCATCGATATGTCTTTCTGACGAAAGTTCTCTCTTGACTCGATGATCAGTTTGAACATTGTATTATATGTTTGATCCGTCTTTCGACGAATGAAGAGTTTTTGTGAACACCAAAGACCTTCGATGACATTGAGCTCACAGTGAAACTTAGGACACCACCGAATTACCACACCATACTTTGCGGCCAGTTGCTCTGAACGTGAAACCTGTGGAGAGAGGGTTCTGTGATAGTTTGAACTGTTGACTCAAAAATAATTTCTTACAGTCTTAAAGGCTGGAGGATCGGCCAAAAGAACTCGCAAGTCGTCGGGTTTAATCTTTGAGGGTACTTTGACTATCAACTCCCTGGCAATCTCATCAAGATCCTTGCTCTTCCCCTTATTTGGACCACTTTGAAAGTAGCAGTGCAGGATTTGTACGATTCCATTTTCATCTGTGTACTCGATCTTGTCGACAGGACACTTGGTTTCGATGCTTTTGTTGAAATCTGATAGACTATATGGCTTGGCCGTATGAGTACGAGCATTGTCGACAACGATTTCGATGGTGTGGTTTTTGTACTCTTCTTTGAATTGGAGCAGTTGAAATAAACGTTCGAACTGTTCGGGGATTATGAAGTTGTCAAAGTATGAATCTTGACCGACATGGATTGAGGCAGTGGCAGTTCGCTCAACATAGTCGACATCAGTATCAGCTAAGTAGAGATATTAAATTTAGATTTGCTCTTCGGCAAAGATATTGATGATTCAGTGGAAGCTTACTTTTCAACTGTGGATATTTTAGCAATGCCTTGTCATATTCATCTTGAGAAAGACTGAAGAAAGGCCCTGAACTGTGCTGAACTATGAAATCACTGATCATGTTCGATCGTCCTCTTCCTTTCGAATGGAAAGGAGCATCATCTCTAATGAACCACCGTTTGGCCGACACCTCACCACTCTTGAATGTACTTTCGTCATGAACTAAAATGAAGTCAAGATATTTTAGACTTTTCTTATAAACTAAATAAACTGAGCTACTCACATAGTAAAATACATGGTGGATTTTGGGTGGGAATTTGCCATAAAGGTTTGTCTCCGTCTGTGATAGTGTAGTAGAAATTCTTTCTATCAAGAAAGTAATTGATGAATTTCTCGCGGTGTTTCACAACATCCAGACGTTCATGACCCTCGAAATAGGGCCGTTGCGTGTTCTCTTTGAATCGAGCCCTTCAACGGCGAAGATCCAAACGACACGACGTCACAGATCGAATCAAGGGGCTATCAGGATCTGGAGTAGAAATTGGGTTTTAGAATTATAGCAGAGAGGTACTTATTTTAATACACTAATAGCATACCTTTTGCGCCATACATTGTTTCATAAAACTGTTTATCAATGAACTTAGCTAGATCAATGGCTGTAAAGTCGGCTGACTTCTGTGAACACCTCTCAAATGTATACTCTTTTGCAGCATCTTTCAAATCAGGGAAGTAATCATAGAATTCAGCCGTGTGTTTACCACCACTATTCTCGCCCTGGAACTCCTCTATATCACCAGAAATAAGTACTTTAGCCCATCTGTGTGCCGCTTTTGCCTTCAGTGCTCCTGAAATACAAATTATACTCTGTACACATATGAAACATCATGTAATTATTCATGAACTCACCGATATCTTGTAAGAAAGCCTCGCACTTATTCCAGCTGACACCAAGACTTCTCAAACTTGTATAGATCAACACACTAAGGTACCTTATGTGACATTTGGATTTGCAGAATTCGAACAGATCGGCCATATCGTTTATTGTGATTCTGTCTTCAAAACTCAGTGCTTCACTCCGATCACCGTCGTCAACTTCCATTTCTTCTTGTTCATTATCCGAAAATTCCTGATGTTGATCGTCAGAATTTGCTGTTGATAAACGTTTTTTCCGCATAGCCTTCAAATGAGCATGAAGTTTTCGTTTAGGACCCATAGTAAATGATAGAAGTTGTGAAGGTGTTTGATTATAGATCGAATAGTAGATGATAAGGTGAGATGAATGTAGTTGTATATCACATACTTTATTTGAACTTAAACCGATCTATTTATAGGTTTGAGCAACGAACGAGAACGTGAATACAATAGTTAGATGAATATTAAAACACAAGGGAAGAGTGATTACAAAGACCTGGGCAAGATAGTACGAACACATAGAGAGTGATTATAAAGACCTGCAGAACATAGTACGAACAGAGAGAGAGGCATTACGAAGACATGGAGAACATAGTATGAATACATAGAGAGAGTGATTCCAAGGACCTAGAGGCATGACGAATACAATGATACTATGATCTAACCCTAGATGAATATTATAACACCACCTAACAAAGTATAAGAAAAGACTGATTGATATGCTGGAAAAGAAAAGCACATTAAATTGAATTTGAATATAGAGAAAACGCGATCCTAAAACATAATATCTGGAATTCTGTACATTTAGACCTAAAGCTCCCTACAAAATTTATACAAAACCTCTCGGATTCATCTAAAAACCTTCCAGAAATCCTCTAGAGATCTCGGCAGTATGCCCATAAAATTCGCTATGGTTTTTAATCTATTTGAGAATATTCAGGCTTCATTTCGAGCAAAAGTCGAAAAAAGACAAGGAAAAGCCTTGCCCGTTT